ATTATTATTTCGCTACGTTAATGATTATTTAGCCGCATTTATCGTAAAATATAGTTAATTTTTGATCACAGATTTTTACTGACAATTAAAACCGAATACGTTATAATTATGAAGGCAATTTTATTAATATACTACTTAAAATTTAACATACAAAAAAAAACGGTTTCACGTTAAATCCAATTACTATTATTATAAAACTTACAAGCATCCGCCCGCGTTTTATGTTGGTGATTTCAACCAAATTAGTCCAGACATTTACGCGTGAAAAACTAACAAACATACGTCACACATTCTTCCAAATTTTCACATTTATAATATTAAGAAGGATAGGATAAGATTATCGATATGAACACTTGGCCATCACTATAATATGTAAGCTGAGCATAGGGGTGACAAAACAAAGTGTTGGTTGGAATTTGCTAGCGATGGAATTTTGCAAGCTCACTGCGTATATTTATAAGATAATTAGACTTCCAAGTTTATTATGAATAGCATTATCATGATTGTCATTTATTTTTTGAAACGTCGCTGTCATGTCATTGGTTTTGAAGAATAAACTGGCCAAGGTTTACTTTAAGCCTAATATATTTTTCGCAGTACACCACGGTACTCGATTTTTTTTATATAATTATTACTAAGAAAACATATTATTATTGTACTAATTACTTACTGAGATTATCTCAATTTTTTTTATACAGGACAATGTGTGAGCTACAATATATCATTTTTTTTATTATATATAGTCAACTAGCTTTTGCCCGCGACTCCGTACGCGTGGACTATCCGTCTGGTATTAAAAGTATCCTATTTGACCTTTCTCGAATTCCTAACTATGTCTGTACCGAATTCCAAAGAAATCAGTTCAATAGTTTAGGCGGTAAGAAAAGACAGCCAGACAGAGTTACTTTCGCATTTATAATATTATATAGTTTGGATAATACTTGATTCAGAGTAAATATCAATGCCTCCCAGGACCGGTTCAATCTATATGTTAACATACATGCTTATATAAAACTAAGAGAAGTTTTCTTTTAAATAGGAAAAATCTTTGAAGGCTAGGGGAAGATATAGTAGGTCTTACTTTGCTCTGATCTCACCGGGTCGTGTGTGTCCCACAGGATTACAAAGGATACAGTGCATCTGTCGCTACTGCATACTTTTCCTTTTCAGAATGTTTTAAAGATATATTGAGAAGGAATAGTGATTAAACAAACATACTAATATGTCATATATAGTATATAGTATGTTTTAGCCTGAAAGTCATACTCGAGAGAAATCAAGTCTTTCATTTGTTAAATGTTAAAGCTGTATAGTTTGTTTGACCACACTTATCTCCGTAACTGCTGGTTCGAATTGAACAGATTTACTTGTATTAGATAGCCCATTTATTGAGGAAGACTAAGGCAAAAAAAATCACTATATGACCGATAGGATTCGAGTAGTGTCGTAGGAGAAGCTAGTGCAAGGTTAAGTTATAGTAACTATGTCATCAATATAATTACTTATTTATTTTTGGTTATATTTAACCAGGGTCAAGTGCAATAAAGCACCGCGGGCCTTCCCTGGAGCAGAAGAAGGAACGGAATGGTTTTTAGTCAGTAAAAGTCTGACACTTCCTCTCTTTCCATACCGGGTAAGAGAAGTCACTTAATGACTTTCCTTCTCTTACAAAAAGAGTATTTACAAAGGATCAAACGAAAAATTGGCGTGACATTAAAAATAATCCAATAATAAACGTGTAAACCGTTCAATACTCAATCATTTATTCATTATATGAAGCAATTCCGCATCATGACCCCATATTTTACGTCTGCATTGCAAAACTTCATAAAACAATCATCAGATCAGATTTGATTCACAAAAATCCGGACCGACGACGCGCGACGATCAGTGAAAAAATATTTGCAACAAACAAAATCCAATCATAATTTTGAACAAATTACATTTTTGCAGGGTAGGTTGGGGTAAAACAAACAGCCCACTTCAAACGCAACGACACAGCTTCGAGCGGACATGGACTTAGAGGCATGAATTATTAATTTTCCATTTAAACCAGCTCTGGCAATGTTTGCTTCCCTCCGATGTCCCCTATTGACTTTATCGCTACCCAATGGAGGGGGAATTAATTGCGTAAGGTTCGCGATTCGAAAATATTCGAGGCTGATCAATTTCGAATGTGGCTTTTAGGCTTTTGAGTACTACAGAGGATTTTCTTTTAAAAGAAAAATAATGGTTATTTTTAAAGAATGTATTTTAAGACCAACGTATTGGTTTCGGCTTTGGCTTTGTGAGGTGAGGATGACAGTGTGCACACCGGCGTATTTTTAAAGATTTTTATTTTGAGCTCTATTTCAAAGTTCTGATGGTTCATTGGTTAGTTTCTAGTTTAAAACATTAATATTCCCAATTGGATAGCTCTTTATCCAATAACTATCCAATCCATTACACTATTTACATTAAAACATAACATATTTTTCCTCAATATAATAAAACTTAAACAACTCATCCTACTATGCAAAAATGCAGTAAAATGCTTCACGCGATACCACTAAAATCTAAGACATTCACAAACAAAAGGAACACAGCAAAATATATCTTCAAGTCGTATATCAGACGGTCCATTTTCCTCTACAACTGGTACAATGAAGAAATAAGAATTTCTTAAAGCAATTTCCAGTTCTAAAATTCGAAATTAAAGCTCAAGAAATAACACAAGAAAACTCAACTTCTCTATTCCGTTTTAGCCCAGTTTCCTCTATTTAAATTCTGAGAAAATTTGGGTCGAAACTATTAAGAAAACATGTGTTGCTTGAGTTACATAGACTTTAAGACGTTTTATTAAGGATTTAATTTTGTTTTAAATGCACCACGTGCAGTAGTTTGGTGCATAAGATTAATATTAAGATTCCCTTAAAATTTCACTTTGCTAGTTAAAAAATGATTAGTAAAAATGATACTTACATTTTTTAATCAGATTGTAAACGTCAACGGCATTGTTATCCTATTTTTCTATAAGAACTTCAAACACAAACAAAACTAAACAATAATTACAATAACATAAAAATAAACTAAAATAAACTTCGGCACTAGATGGCGTTGTACTAAAGTTATGTCCGTTGAATGTAAGCGTTGGTGCAACGATCTCAATCGAAAGGTTTATTAATAATTCATGTGTGTCGTAGCGTGGTCGTGTCGTGAGGAGAAAACAAACCTTATAGAAATGGGAATTTGTTCGGTCAAGTGGAACTATTGTCTCTGAATGAGATCAATGGCTTAATGTATCATTAGTGACCTGAACTTATGCCCACTGGTAATAGTTTTGAATCCTAACAATGCTTCTGCACTCGTAATTCAGCATCACACTTTACTACTTATTTGGACTAAGCCATGGCAAATAATTAGATACAGTTTTTATTTTATCCTCACTCACACAGCGAAACGATGCAAAAAAGTTGGGAATCCTCGCAAGGGTTAGACAATACTTCACGCCGGAACAGCTGCTTAAACTTTATCAGGCGCAAGTTCGATCGGTTATGGAGTACTGCTCTCATCTTTGGGACGGATCTGCCCGATACCAACTTGATGCGCTTGAATCTATTGAGAGGCGAGCCAAGAGGATCATTGGCGATGATGCACTTGTCGAGTCGAGACTTCAAAGTCTTGAGCATCGACGCCGAGTTGCTAGCCTGTCGGTTTTCTACCGGTTGCATTTCGGGGAATGTGCGTTGGAATTACATAATTTAATTCCGCCTAGCCCGTTCCATCATCGGACCACCAGACGTACGGCATTGCGCCACCGGTACATGGTGGATGTCCCACATATACGTACAAAACGTTTTGGGAGCACATTCATCATGCGTACAGCCAAGGAGTGGAATTCCTTGCCGGAGTCGGTGTTTCCTGATAGCTACAATCCGGGTATCTTTAAGTCAAGAGTGAATAGGTTACTTCTAGGTAAGCGCGCTCCATCTTCGACCGCATCGTCGCTTTCCATCAGGTGAGATAGCGGTCAAGCGCGAGCCTATAATCAATGAAAAAAAGAAACACAACGCTGTGGTTGTTTAACGTCAGTTTTCTGTGACACCGTGGTATCACTCCGGTCGAACTGACCAATGCGTGCCGAAAAATAGCTGTCCCACACTTAAATTCATCTAGTTTTTCACATATAATTTGACGAGTAAAAGTGCCGTTTTATGGCCTATTTGCAAAAATAAATTCATTGTTTCATTGTTTCATTGTTTCAAATGTTTAATAATAAATTGTATATTTAAAATGAACGAAACTAAATGTCTTTAAATTAAAAAAGAATTCACGAGTATAGTCAATAGAGATCAAAATTACCAACTAACTACGTGATTTTATGAAAAATATTATAACTAATATTTCCTTATCCAAACTAGGGGTTATTTTATTCCCATATTTCTGATTCACAGTAGGAGACCAACGTTCCAATTTGCGTTGGATTGTTACAGAAATATCATCGATGCGGGAGATTGTAATATCTATTATTATGTGTTTGTTTGTCATGTAATATCTTACAAATTGCTTACATAAATCTGACAAATTGCCCCAACTAATGTAGGTTGGTAGGTAATCAAATTAACCCTTTAGTTAGGAACCTAATAGATGAATTGAGAGGAAAATTATGTTCGATTTCTTTTCGTATAGATTCTGTAAGTCACATTCCGTTGGTACAAGATTTTTTGTTATTTGTTCCTTGATTTCGAACTTTCATCAGAGTTGAGTTTCAGTATTATTTTTTACCCATTGCTTACTAATAACTAGTTTAACAATATTACTAGCAAAAGAATAATAAATTGTACTTTTAGGACTTAGTATTAGAATATTATAAAAGAAATTCGCCTGACCTAGATAAACGAACTTACGTTACCGTCAAAATTTTCTTCTAGATCATACTTATTTTTTTCCGTTAATCACCATTATGCGCAAATCACATTATGAACAAATCCCCATTATCCGCTAAATGCCCAGGTACTTACATAACACGCTGAGCTGCACGGTGCTTCGCATAGGGCTGTCTCTATGCAGCGCCTCATGTCGGGCCTCGCAAGTAAAGTCCGCATAGTCGTCGTCCGCTGTCGCTTTAAAGTGTACTCTGTAAACAAACGTATAAAGTTTAATATTGATTGAGTGGAAATACTCTTAAACGAACTCGAAGGTTCTTCAACCTGATAATCATTCTTTAAAGGTGTAAGCATGTATATAGGTGTTAATAGTAAACAATTTTATAATGTGTTTAATATCTAAATATTACAAACTTGGCAGAAAAACCCTAACCCGTAAGTTTGGTATAGACAACAGGGGTAATCCTATTATGGTCATAAATGCGAAAATTTATAATTAAGAATGGATGTCTGTTGTTCTTTCTTTAAAACTACTGAACGGATTTCAATTAAACTTGGCACAGACATAGACTATGTTCACATAGATGCTTTTTATCCCAGAAACGCGGACGAAACCAACGGCAGAAGCTAGTTTTGTGTAAAACAGATGTGTTGTGTTAAACTCAATCATATACTTAATTGAATTAAACTATGAACTGCATTAACACTTCGATCACAGTTTACCCAACAGGGAATAAGAAAGCGTGATATTACACTATCATTTATAGAAAACTAGCTTTCGCCCGCTACTTCGTTCGCGTGGAAGAGTGACCTCCTGCAGATTTTTGGTGTAAAAACTATCCTATGTCCTTTTTCGAGTTCGAAACTATGTTTGTATCAAATTACACAGAAATCGGTTCAGTAGTTTAAGCGTGAAGAAAAGACAGACAGACATATAGACAGAGTTACATTTTATAATATTAGTTTGGATTAGTTTAATTAACTACAAACAAACTGAGATCAATTTAATAATGTTCTCGCCGGGGCATTGAATCTTCTTACGAATAGTTTCCGTCTTGTAATCAACGAAACAGTCCCATAGAGAATTTAGAATTTACAGAGAATTGAATTTAGCATAAACTTTGGTCACTTTATCTATAATTTTGGATAATTGCTTCGGAACTGGGAAGAACTATCATCTGTTTAATTTCCATTATAGTTTTAAATTTGAAATTGTTTATTCTGAGAAGTACACTAGGTACCAATTTTAAAAACGAGTAGGTTTGTAAGTATGGATGGGTTTTTGTTACTCTTTTACGTAAAAACAACGGAACTTTTACGTAATTTTTTTATGTGATGTGACGGCGAACGAGCAAATTGATTACCTGAAGGTAAGCAAAGCAATAACGGAAACAACGGATTAGTAACGAGTGCCTTTTAGAGTTTACCTTTGGGGGATTAGGGATTTGGTGATTTTGGGATTTAGGGAGGCGAAGGATTGTGCTCTGGTAACCTCACTCACACAACAACAACACAACGCTGTGGTTGTCTCACGCCAGTTTTCTGTGAGGCCGTGGTAAAACTCCGATCGAGCCTACTCATTCTTAAAAGTATTAGCAGGCACTATTTCAAATAAAACCTATACCAGCTTTTGATATATCGATTTTACACCAGCACCGAAATAAGAATTTCACCAACTCCCAAGAAATCGTTTCCGAAACAAAATTGGTACTTGGGAAAAGTTTAAGATGTCTTTGAGTACAGCAGACAGTCCAGCTCGTAGCCAAGCCATAAATGAACATATACCTAATGTATGTAAGTCTATATATGTTATATAATAATAGCAAGTAAACGACATCGTGGCAGATGTTCGCAATAGCTTTAAAGCGACGATGTAATAATATGCCCTGATTTGTCCCGCGATCCCGTCTGCAGTGGAAGGGAGACTCATGCACTACATTGTTTTAAAATTCTGCTATAAAAACAAAACTTATTTATTTATTTATTTATTTATTTATTTATTTATTTGGACTTCCAACAGAGAAAACACTTTAAATGCCAGACAATATACATAACAAAATATTTTCTTGTGCTTCTCCACTTATAAGAAGCCACAGCATGCAAATATGATGTAACAGCATGAATACAAATACAAATTTAAAATGATGTAAGTATTAAATTAAATTTTAACACTACGTTATATTAAGTCTAATAACAAGAAATGAGATCAAAATTATATAAAACAAAGTTTTTTTTAAAGTAGCTAATCAAAGCATAATCCTTTCAAACATAAAGCATAAGACTATCAAATAGTAAAATTTGTCAAAATAAAAATAAAATATATTAATAACAAGCGTTTTCTGAATTATAAAAATAATTATAATAATATGAATATGAAATGAAGTCAACATTAAACAAATTGAGAATAGTCTAAAAAGAAATGAAATTCTAATCAACAATGGAATTACAAATAAGCACAACTATATTAAAGTCAAATCATTGCTTGACAATGAATTAATAAAACATCTATGTTTATACAGATAACACTACGATTCTTGCGCATGTATACATATTATGTCATTGAAGTGATTAAAAATTAAAGATTTATAAGTGCTTAGAGTGTTAGAGAAGATGTCGATGTCTGCCGAAGAATTAGCAACACAGTTATATTGATGGGTCATCCTATTAATTGGAGAGTGTTTACCCAGATTAGTGCGGTGTTGTGGAACCTTAAGTAAGGGTTGTGGGCGGCGTGGGACCCTGGAAGGGACTCTAATCTGAATACCGTTCAGCAAGTCTGGGCAGTCAACGCCATTGTTAAGTATTTTTTGTAAAAAGTGTAAGTCAGTAATAGCACGACGAGATTCTAGGGTTAATAGTTTTAGTTGGGTTCTTCTATCTTTATATGATTTACAATTCCGAAGTTTGAACTTAAACGCTAAAAAAATATATATAATAGAGTAGCATTCTTAAAATTACACTATTGATTTTAATTAGGAAAGATCTTTTAGCTTTTCAACATCATCAATAACCACAGTTTGGGAGTTTTCGTCCTTTTTAATGAAGATTCTTCCATTTCGAACCCACACGAATCTGTATCCCAGTTCTTTGGCTCGAACTCGTGTTGCCGCATGAAGTGCTTTGTTCTCAGGGGATAAGTGTTCGACGACATATATAGGTACTGGTTTGTCGTTTGCAATGCCAAGATGACTTGAGTTCAGTTTAGACTTTGGATTATTTTTGTTGAATTGTAGGGATGCCGCAAGGAAAGTGTCCCTCACACGGGGACTGGTGAATTTGACGAGGACAGACTTTGGACGTTTGTTGTTCGCATCTTTCTTTGCAATTCTGGTTGTGAGTTGAATGTCCGTATCCTTTATATCACACTTAATGACTTTGCCGAGCTGAAGGACAGTATTAATCAAGTTCTCGGATGGATGTTCGGGTATACACTGTATTTCGACGTTATTAGATCGCGCGTGTTGTTCCAAGATATTCATACGCTTCGTTATGTCACTTATTGATTTTGTTAAAGAGCAGTTCTCTCTCATTAGTTTCTGTATAGTAGTCGATTTCTCTTCTAAAGCTGTCCTCATTTCTTCATATTTTTCGTTGAAGAATGACAGCGATTTCTTGAACTCACAAATAACGTCGTTGAATTTACCAAACTGTTCCTTTATCATACCTTTAATTGTATCTTGTAAAGCTATGTTAATTTCTTGCCTTATGATTTCTCTCAGTGAACCACTCGTTATGTCCGTCAATCGTGTTGTTTCTTCGTTTGTGGGCAGGCACTGAGATGGTTTTCGGCGTTGAGTAATATTGCTTTGATCGGTAGGAGAGGAGTTGTTGATGCTGCTTGTAGGACTACATGGCTTGGCAGATCGGATCGGTGTATTTGTATTGTCGAGTTTTGGCTGTTTATTAATGCACCCGGGGCACTTCCAAGTATTTTTAGAGTCGGAATGCATTGACTTGAATTTCTGCTGTGATATATTTGCGCATAGTAAATCATACCATTGATGACAAAAATAGCATTGTAAGCCTTTTCCAACCTTAAAAGCGTTCATGCAGCCGGCACACTTCAATGTCGACATTTTTAAATTATGTACCGAAAGTAAGAACAAAAAGTATAAAAAAAAAAAAACAATTTTCCAAAAGTCTTCCCAGCGATGTCAAAAGCGTTAGAATACTCAAATTCTGCGCAAGCAATATGAAAAAAAAAACTTCCAAAAAGTATATGCGAGTCGTCGGATTCGAACTCGGCTCACTCTATTGAAAGTCGACGTCCGATACCACAACGTCAAATCGTTGTTGATTACTTGTTGCAAATTAGGTGCTTTGTTTCTACAAGTTAAAGTTTATGTGACAGTTGGACGTAAACAACTTTTGAATTTGAATTTTTCCACTGTCACTCACAACAAATACACCTTAGTTTTTACATAAACTTTTTTAGTTTATTATAAGTTTGCACTTTTTGCACTTAAGCTTATTAAATGTAGTAACGCAAGTTTTATGCAAATTCGGCACCAAATAATTGTTTATTAACAACTTTATGCACTGTTGGTTGGAAAAAAGTTTCACTAGATATTTCTTGACACTATTGAATCCCTGCTCGTAGATAACGATAGATGATATAAATTGCCACTATAACTATTGAAATAGCACTGTATTAAGAGGAAAATGCACTTGTAACTATTTTTAATGATTTTAAAAACACGGAGCTGTTGTTTACACTGGCAGTGGCGCCATCAGTATGAAAACTTGAACAAAGGGTTGTCTTTTTGCGTTTATTGTTAATTATTTATGCGCATACATTACGTGTTTAAAGGAATTATAGTTTTTGCTGTTAACATGCTGCTTAAAAATGGATTTAATTTTAAGAGCAGAAGATAGAGCTTTGTGACATTGTTAGGTACTACTGGAGAGGTCAACCTAAGCACCACTCGGGACGATGAATAAAAATATATTTGGTTAATTTTCCAATTCAATAAAAATAATTATGATATTACTAACAAAATGGCTGATTTTATTAATGATAAAGATGACAAAAATACGTGGAGATTTTTGCTCGCTCTAATCCACAGGAATCGAAAATTTATAAAACGAGCATATAGCCTTTCTTTGGGACAAGCTATTTTATTAGTATATAATTTGCACGATCAAAATGTGCCTTATTGATGTAAGTGTAATAAATTATTCAACTTAGATATTCTCTTAAGGTATCATTTCATTCAGAAGCTGCAAGTCATTGCCGAACTCCGATCTGATT